TTTCTCTCCCTCACATTAGCTGTACATGCTGTTTTATCCAAAGACCCATTTATGTCATTATCATAATCTTCATCAACTTGTCAAGATAATGGAGGGCTCACTGAGTTCAAAGAAGGCTTCACATAATTTATGGAAATTTAAAGACCATAGATGTAGAAGGAGCTTGGGAGCAACAGATAAATAATAACTGCATGGAAAACCATACAGGAAGGTTATCATTCCTTGGAAAGGGTGCAGCTTGGATTTAGTTATGAGGGAGAGAAGAGAAACTCAACCTCTTACATGCAAAAGATAATATACTTAATAAAATTCATAAAGATAAATACAGGCCCAAGAAATGGAAGAAAAGCAAATGAAAATAAACTGTAAGATGATAATCAAGGTTGGAACAAATGGAAGAGACACTCTTAAATCTGCTTTCAGCAAATCCTATATCTGTATTTGTAACAGTCATGCAAGTTTAGGTTTTAGAAGCCAAGTTACTTATCAATTTTGACATATGCCAGCCAGACTTGTTTAGCAGTCAGATAAGGTTTATAATTACTTCTCCAAGCCCTTCCAGTGTACCACAATTTGCAGTCTTCTACACACTAATTTCTGACCAGCAAATTGTGTTCTATTAATGTTCATTAAATTAACCTCAGATGGCTGATATTACCATGTCAGAGTCTCACCCAACGTAGCTATGAGTTAATAAACTGCCCTTCTGAAAAGCAAAATGTTTTTCTGAATCTAAATTATTTTAGGATGAGTAGGGTACTTCAAATTGTAGTCCAATACTCTGTACTTTCATGTACTTATTCATTAAACAAATATTTATTGAAGACTTTTCCTATACCAGATTAGGTTTCTGTTTTCAAAGCTATCCAGTATCATTACAGATGAAGACACTGAGCAATAAACTAATAAATTATTTCAAGTGTGACAAATGCTGAGAAGGAAATAAAAATGGTAATATGTCAGAGTTGCAGTAGAGGGGATAGGGGATTAGCTATGTTAGGTGGGGTTGGGAGATCAGTGAAAAAGGAGTCTTTGAGGAGGTCACATGTGAGCTGAAATTTGGATGAAGATATGAAGGAGGAGAGAAAATGGACAAAGTTGTAATCAAATAAAGCAACATGTGCAAATCCCCTAGACTGAAACAAGTATGATATATCTAACAAAAGCAAGCAGTGGGGGAGAATGAGATTAACAGAGCTAAGGAGGCAGGCAAGACCTGCTATTGAAATTGCTCACGCAGGGTCATAGCACTGTACATACATTAGCAAGGAGGTGAAATGGATGGATACTTGTAACAGACTAAAGATTCTGGGATAGTAACATTTGAGTGGTAGACAGAAGAGGAGGAACCCAGGAAATAGGCAGGGATCTCAAACTCAAATGCCTTTAGGGGCCAGGTAGGAATCCTAAAGGAATGAGGCAAACCTAGGTAAGAAACAGGGAACAGTGGGAACAGTAGTGATTTAGAGAATGAGTGACATGCCTAACATTCAGACTCATTAAAAAATAATTTGCAGGCAACATAAAGGCTAGAAAAGCCCATGAGTTGTTAATATGCAACACCGAGCTAGAGAAAAGTACATTAAGTAAACTGGGATTGAGATAAATTAATAGAGCATGATCTCATGTAACTCAGAGAAGAGTTATTATATTTCCAAACTAAACAAAAAAAGAATGTTTGATAGGCTGTAACTCAAATGCTGTGATACTAATGACAAACAAATAATCAAAAACACTTTGTTATAGAACTTACATAATCTAAAAATGGAGGTAACGATGAAAGGGGCTAAATTTCTAAAGACAGGAATCATAGTCACGTGGTCCATTCAAAGGCTGGATGTAGAAATCCATGGGAAGAAACATGCCCAAAAACTCTGTGCTTTCATGGATACAGAGATGGGTGGTTCAACTCCTTATAAGGCATTCTACATGCTCAGAAGTTTCTATCAAAATGACCTATGGTAACATGCAGCTGACATCTGCCCCCTTTTAGCCTAATAGTGCTAGATCTGCCCTCTGTGGCTACATAAAATATACTCAGTACTTTTTGCACCTGCCAGTCCTTCAGATATTTAAAAATAGAGGCCTGACACTGCCTTCCCTCTGTAAATCTTCTCTTCTTCAAAGCATATTTCCCTTCAGCTACTCCCCAGATAACTGTTTCCAAACTCTGGCATTCCATTTACATTTCTGTGAGCATTCTCCAGTTTGTCACTATTCCTTTTAAAACAGTACCCAGGGAGAACACCACATTCCTAGCTGTTTTAGAATCTCCAGCTACTTTAGCCATCATTTTCAATTTCTTCAACAGTAGGAAGTAGGAATACAATGACATTTTATCAAGCTCAGTCTCCTGCTGTACTGTTCCCCACTCCCTACCCTCCCTTACAGTCTGCTTATTGTATTTCATGGACAGATGCATAATCCAGAGTGAATGTTCCCATTGACATAAGGAATGCTGTTTCTCATCACTTCAGCATTTCTCATTAAGATCACTCTGTCTAATGTCTATTATGTCTTATGCAGTGCTTCCTGCTCTTCATTCCACTTTCTAGACATTAACTTATATACTCAAACTAGAGAAGTATTTTTGTATAAAGAGGAAGATAAATCTGAGAATGAATGGTTAAACCGAGAGGGAAAATTGGAAACCTGACCCTTGTGGGGGTCACACACTGACTAGAAGAATACAAAGACCTGACTTTGTGGGCCTCCCTGGTGGCTGAGGGATTAAGTTGCAGCACTATCACCGCAATAGCCTGAGTTCCATCCCTTGCCAGGGAGCTGACCCACATGTGGTGCAGTAGACCTCTCCTGTCTCACCTGCTGCTCCCTTCAGCAGCATATTTCAGTAAATCAGCCTGTTCTGCTTCCCACTCTGTCTCTGGTGAATCCTCTCACCTCTCCCCTCTGCACCACTGGCCTACACCACAGCTCTTCTATGAGCAAATATAAACAAACAAAAAACTCATAAAGACCTGTGAATAGAAATAGTTACCAATTAAAAATGTTCATTAAGTTCCAAGTCTTCTAATAAGCTTTACATGCATAGCCTTACATGTATGTCATATGTTACATACAACAATCTTTCGTAGTGTATATATGTATTACTAGCATTTTAGAGATAAGGGAATTAAAACACAGAGGTTGGGTGGCTTGCCTAGTGTCACACAATGAGTAGATGACACTGAGATTTAAACCAAATTTTTCCTGTCTTCAAAGTTCAATCTCTTCATGGTTTTGTGCCACAATCTCTTAGTGAGTACTGTATATACTACATATAACTTAAAGGGTTGATCGAAAAAAAGAACTCAAAGTAATTACTAAGATGTTCTGCCCAACAGGTGGGAGGAGGGATCATGTGTTACCTCCTCTGTGGGGCTAGAGACTAGAGATGTTATCACCATTTGTATGCAAGGGCAAAAGGGAAAAGGAGGAGAGAAAGGTCACACACCAACCTCAGTGTTGGACATCATGTCTCCAACTGGGCTGAAATGTAACCTTGCAGCTCCTGTCATAAGCACATTTGGAATGTAAACAAAATTTCAAGGTGACAGTTCAGCGTAAGAAAATGGTATTTTCAAGCACTTTTAATGCCACTTTAGCAGTATTCACTTGTATATAAATCATGTGCTAATTTATTCATTAAAATACCCTGTCCTTGGCAACTTTTTATTAACCTTACTTTATGCTAATAAGATCAGTACTTATATTTTTATAATGCATATTTTTATAATTACTCCATAATTCTGATTTCCCTCCACCTTGAACTAAGCCCTTACCAGCCTCAAACCACTTTCCATATTCAATGAAAATGAATTCAAATTAAAAGATCATAGGATACAGCACAGGGAAAGCCCAAATGTGAGAGGAAAGGCTATTCCCACACATCAAAGTTTTGCATCAGAATCTCCTGGAATTTTCTCAGACTCACATAATTACCAATTCCTGGGTATCTCTGAAATCTACTGAATCAAAATCTCTAGGGAAGGGAATGCCTCGGAATTGAGTTTAGTCCACAACCAGCACTAAAAGACCAATGATTAGAATTGAATTTAGTCCACAACCAGCACTAAAGGACCAAGATTAGGCCATTTCCACCATAGGCAGGAATACCACAGCTCCCGGAAAACACAGGATACCATGTATCAAATACCACGGCAGACATTGCTAATCAATCACAGTACTTTTCCTTGTTCCAGCTAGAAACAATTTCAAAGCCCTTTTCAACCAAGCAGCTCAGGGTACTACTGCAATTTTACCTACTGTTACACACAGGGAGCATAGTTCCTTTCACTGAGTAAAATAAAAACTGACATTGTCTTCAGACATTTTATTCCACCATTATAGCCTATGTATTACTCATAATGCAGACAGATACCCAGATAAAGAAGATAATCCCAGAAGCAGCTTAACCAGCTGTTGCCGACTCATCTTTGCAGTGGTTTCCCACTAATATCTTTGAAACGAAGACTCCAGAAATCAAGTAAATGCTTAATCAGCTAGCAATTATTAAAATATTTATGATACATGGGATATATACATTTCTTCAAACCATCCAACTTTCTGCTGGTAATTCAAAGTCCCACATTGAATAAAAACTATTAGGAGAAAAAAATCAGAGTTCCAAAATATTTTAAAACAATGTAGCTTTTTACTAAAATATCCTATAGCAATCTGCTTGATTTTCATTGTTCATACTATAGATTTTCTCTTATGGATACTGTGGGCCATATCTCTATGCAAATATTTAGTGTCCTGTAAATTATAGGGAAGAAATCTCTACACTTTGTTTCTGCTGGATTTCATTTCAAAAAGAATGTCCTGGATTCCCAATATGACCATCCTTGGCTCCTTGGCCACTACTGCCACTTTACAAGTCATATTGGGTAGAATCACATTTAAGACCATATTTCAGGTGATACCTGGTTCATTAGGCTGACTTTGTTAAGCTGACAGCCCTGGTGATCAAACAATAAGATCAGAGAGAGCAGACCTACCTCATCATAGATGCTGTCATTCCTGTGAAAATCTCCAGTCTTCCTGGGAAGAACGTGGACATGCACATGCTGAAATGTACAAGGAAGAAAAAACATGATTATCTTTCCATATATTTTTAGACTTGACAGTGATGTTCTCATGAAGTTCAATTACTCCACATTGATTCCTTCTGGATTATTTTCCAGAGGAAGATGATATCTACCTTCAGTAACTGTATCTGAAATCTGCTGAGAATGTAGAGGTGCAAAACAACAGAGAACAACTTGGTGACATATATAAGAGTTTGAGTGAAATGCCAGAGTGTTTTAGGGGCTCTGTGGAATTATTCATAGTTGTCAGTCTTGGCTGTATTTAGCCAGTGCTTTGAAATGACAGCACATCTTAAAAGGTGACCATAGCAACCTGAAACTGACAAGAAATAAGAATTGGCAAACAGAGAACTTTATATAAGTAAAGAGCAAATGAGTGAAGGTAGGAAGGTAGATAGACAAAATTACAGAATTAAGCCTTCAAATAGTAATCATGCAACAGTAACAAATTGTTCTACTTATCAAGAGTTTACTATGATAAAGAAAGATCTGTGCTTAGCATACATCTTGTTTAATGCTCTGAATAATCCTGTGAGGCAGTTTCTATGATCTCCATTTTTAACAAATCAAATCTATACCCAGAGAGGTCAAGGTCCATCAGGATATGGTAGAGTCAGCACAGGAAGCCAGGTTATCTGGCTCTTACCCCTATGTTCTTCATCAACACATACATTGATTCCATGAAGTTAATCTTCTAAACTGTCCATTTTGTAGGCTACTAAAGCACCTAAGTAATATACATAGCAACGCTATTATGCTATTATGCAGAAATCATCATGAATCAAGGCACACAGCATATCTAATTCAATATATTCTTCAAGGCTAACCTGCCATTTGAAAGTTTTACTTTCCAAATAGCCTCTATTGTACCTCTACTGAAGTTAAACCTCGTCCTGCCCTTGAGCTATGTCCCTACGTTTATTATAAACCTTGGGAAGGAATGTGAACATGAAAAGCCTAAATGTGGAGTGGCAGACAAAGAATCAAAACTTATCCCTGATCACACCCACCCCTTCTTGATTATGGTGTTCAGGCACCAAAGGGCCTCCAGAGAATGTGAGATTAAGTGTCCCTGAGGCTTTGTTGCTGGAGGAAGGGAAAATGATATGCTGTTAAAGCAGAGGCAGGGAACAAGGCGGGCCAAGGTGAAGGAAGCAGAGGAGAGTTTCACATCCACCCCTGAGCACAGAGTCCCCAAAGAGTGATACGTTTGCCAGAACATTCTGAAGTCAATGGTGAAGTCAGTCACAGATTCCTCAGCAACTGGGCCAAGTATATACTACCTGAACACAGAGAAAGGGATAAAAAACAAACAAGGAAAAATAAATCACAAACTACCCACAGGACCAAATTCTTAGGAGAAATCAGTGCAGGATGAAATTTATTGAAATCCATGGGCTGCCTGATTTAAAAGTATGACCAATAAAATGCCATGAATGGAAATATCCCACTCTTTTAAGGTTGGCAACTCAATCTTCTATTCTTTTTCTCTTTTCTTCCTTTCTTCCTTCCCTTCTCACATCCCATCCTTTTCTCTCTCCCTCCCATCCATGCATCTTGTACTTTCTTATAATCAGGTATTCCATACCAGGGTTCTATAGTCGAAGTGCCTAATACAAACCATCTACTAGCCATATGGTCTTACCTCAAAGGACCTATTATCTCAGTATCCTCATTTATAATGGAGATTGTAACAATTTCTACATTACCGAGTTGTAAGATCTGCTAAACATGTTCATTATGCTACTGAACACATGGTATTCAAAACATGTAGCTGAAGTAGTATTACTTTAAATTTTATTACATGTAATATTTTTAACCTGTAGACAAAGTGCAGATCACATTCAAAAACTGGTCTCTTGGGCCTCCCCAGTGGCGCAGCAGTTGAGTGCTGGGTTGCGAAGCTGCCCGCAGCCTCTGCAGCGCTGGTTCGATCCCCGGCTGCTCCCCGACCACCGGAGGAGGGTCCCACATGGCGCGCAGACCTCTCCTGCCACCCGCTGCTCCCCTCAGCAGTGTACTTCAGTCCTTCTGGCTGCTCTGCTCCCCGCTCTGGCTCTGGTGAATTCTCTCACCCTCCCGTGCTTCTGACTGTACTCAGTGCTTATATAAATAAACAAACAAATAAATAAATAAATCTTTAAAAACAAAAATTGGTCTCTGTATCAGCAAGGAAGGTCCCTGAAAGGGGCCTGGAGGTCAGCACAGCCTGCTAACCAGCTGATCTTAAAATAGGAAGACTATGGTTGATCCCGGATTATCCACCTGGGTCTAATGTAATCATAAGCATCCTTAAAAGTGGAAGAAAGTAACATTGTCAAAATTTAAAATTTTATCCTATCTCATTTAGATCATTCAATGGATAGTCTCAGAATATTGGCTAATGCATTTCTTTCCCATGTTTTTGTAATCTGAAATATATAGCTAGGTATTATCATAGGAGAAAAGAATCCAGGACTTATTTTTGTGACAGCAAATGGTTCTGCTTGGATATGCTGCCCTTCGTGAGTCATGGAACGATGGGATGGTGGACACCAAAAACCTTTAGAGATTTGTGAGCTAGTCTACCTGAGGAAGCCAAAGAAGTGGAAAACTTGAGGTAAGATAATGGAAACAGAGACTGTTAATTCCTCATGCCCAGATGTTTCTCTCCACATGGCAGTAATCCCACCAACATTCCTTCCTCTAATTCACTTAGTAAAGGGAAATGGAAGAAGCCACTTGAAATGTAATTGTCTCTTGCTGTTCCTGTTTGGGTCTATTACACAAACAGTAGGGAGATGTCTCATTTTGTTCTGTTTATTGCAGTAGGATTAGAAAAAAGAGGAGGAGGAGGTAGAGAGGTTCTCCCAACACCTGCTTTCTTAATTGTTAGTGACTTCTTTGCCCCCAAAAGGGACTGATTTTTGAACAAAGCAGGTACATTCTCATAAGCAACATTACCATTTTATAAACACACCTTTAAAACAGTGATAGAAGTTTGACAACAGTTTCCATTTCCTGCTTGGTATGAGAGGCCCATATGCCATTCACCTATTTTTCTTCACATTGAAATAAGCGCTTTCATTGCTTTACAAAGACAAGTGAGAGAAAAGGCAAGTTTTCCTTCAGTATGCCCTGTTTTGACTTTGTAAGCAATGGGTGAGGAAGTTGATGGACTTTTTATCTTTGTTTTGTGGTTTTTTTTTTTTTTTTTGATTCTGAATTTTAGTGCAAGAGGTCTTTAAAACGAAGAAAACAAAAGTAATCTCTCTGATGTTTATCCAGTGCCTATCACATCATCTCTTGCGTTCCAATGCTTTGGGAAAAGGATGAGCCACTCTTGTTTGCGGTGTGGAAGATGGGGGAAACTGATTGGCAAAATAGATGGACTGACACTTACATGCTCATGTTTGTCCAGTTCCCTGGGATTCTGTTCTTAAGGAGAACAGTTCTTATAGAGGAGGAGCTAGAGAAGAATCTGGCAATTATTTCTAGCTTGTGAATTTAGAGCCAAAGAAAAAGACACATAGCCAGTCTCTCAGAGTTCAGTGACACTTTATACAGCATCAAATTCCATCATCTTGCCTTATTTGACTTGAAAAGACCTTAATTTTTAGAAAATTTGAAATTTAAAGCTGTCTGGTAGCTAAAAGCTCCTTTAAACTCTCATTGTGGTTTGGAGTCATACATCATCAAAGCCGTGATGCTTGGATGATGTACTGGGCCCATATATCATGAGCGCACCAGCCCGCTAATAATATATTATCATAACTCACCATTGGAGCACTTCCAGTGATGTATGGCTTAAAACGCAATTGTTAAACCACAAAATTCTACAGGGTCTCACAAATTCAGGGATATTTTTTGAAACTGAATTGGTTATCATTTTTTTCTTCCTTAAGTCTCTCAACTGGACTGGGAACATCTGGGCACATGGAAAACACTGTTTCCTCTGTTTTGTGAAAAGCACACAGCAGCTATTTCAGCACTGTCAATAAGTTAGAGGAAGGAAATCATTGACAAGAGAGTCAGAAATCAACACTATGTGTTTTTCTTTTGAGAGATCACTCATTTTTGTGAAAATTAATACACAGAACCCCTTTTTAAATGAGGTTGGGAGGCTAGAAAAGGATCTAAGACCTATGCATGTGCAAACCACAGAACCCAGCAGACCTTGCATCTCTGATGGGAATATTGTTCTTCACACTAGGGGGGAAAAGAGATTTCTCTACCTAGAAGGAGCAACAAAGACTAGAAGGGGGTGTTGGTTTGACTTCTAGGGGAATGACTGTGTGCCTTGGCCTAGACTGCAATTTTCAAATAATTTTCTTTTAAAAATTTATTTATACAAGAGCTTGGGTACAGGCCAGATGTGCAGGAGGGTGAGAGGATTCACCAGAGACAGAGTAGGGAGCAGGACAGGCAGATGGTGGACCGAAAGCACTGCTGAGGGCAGCAATGGGTGCAAACAGGAGAGGTCTGCTGCACCATGTGGGAATCTCCCTGGCTGGCCGGGAATCGAACCCGCGCTGCAGAGGCTGCAGGCAGTTTCACAGTGCTGTGCTCAACCCACTGTGCCACCGGGGAGGCCCAAAACAGTCAATATTTTAGCTGTCATTTTCATTTTTTTTTTTTTCATAGAATAACTGATCGCTTTTCGCTTGAGGTTAACATATTTGGCAGCCGTACAGGGCATTGGAGATAGATCACTGACAACTCTGATGCTGGTGGAAAAAGTAGGTGTCCTAGCTCAACCTGAACCCCTGAAGTCACTGCTATCTCGCTGACCCTGGAGACATAGGGTAACTCTTCTTCTGGATTTGAGATTTGAAGTTTCACGGTATTTTCTTCAAATGGTTATTCAGAAGGTTTTCTGTTCCAAGGTCTTGATTCATCTAGGGGTGCCGACTGTGGCATGTGGGTTGCTTTCTTCAGGAAATCAGGCTATCCCATGGAATTGTGTCAGCCTTCAGCAGATCATTTGAATTCAGAGGGCT